CTTGCGAACAGATCTGCTTGACAGGGCACACACACACACCGTCTGCGGCCCTCAGGCAAATGAAGCATTGAAACCCTCTGCTTAGCGCCCCCTCGAAGGAAACTAAACACGCTTGATTGCTCTCTTCTGACCCTCTGCAAAGCTGGATGGTCAAGAGACAGGTAAAAGCGGGCGCAAACAAAAAAGGCGCAAAAGCACAGGCAGGGGCAGCTTACTTGTCTCCATATGCTGTCGTACAAACAAGACTCAGCAGCAGCAGTCTAGACTTTCAATTTCGTTTGATTCTGAGCTTGCATGCGAAGAAAAAACATGGAGGTGACAACTGAACTATCCAGCCACAAATGCAACCAGAGGCCCATCTATCTCACATCATCTTGCCACCACAGGGCCAACCATGCATGGTTTTTGCCGGTATTGACATGATTCGGAGAGCCGCCTTGTAGCCACAAGCCGCATCCTCTGCAAAGCTACCTGACCATATCAAGCGAAATCTGCCTGGCCTGTTCTTCTTTGACCCAGGAGTCCTCTTTGCTCTTGTTGAAAAGGCAGGTGCAAAACACATACTGGAAACGAACACATATAAATGGCGGTGCCGATGCTACGCGACGTGAGCGCAAAGCACTTAGCTCTCAAGCTGGCCTGCGCTTGAAAATACCTTATGCACGCGCACAACCAACTAGCGAGGAAGTATACTGCACAATGAAGTTAAACACCCAGCAGTGGCTTCGTTTCAGTCCGACTATACGGCGCCTCCGCCATGTCCGAATTCCATTAAATTCTTTGCGCAACAGCATTCCTCCGGAAGTCCCTGAAATGTCCGATGCAAAGACATCAAGTTTCCTCAGCCCTATCCGGCGCACGGCACCACGCAGCGCAAGCTGCGCCTCGCCCCGGCGCCTCTGCCGTCTGGGCTGCCCGGCCGATGTCGTTCCCGCTCAGATCCAGCGTCAGCCGCTGCAGCTGCACCAAGCCTTGGAGCCCGTCCGCCAGGCCCCGGGCGCCATCCGGACCTCGGGGGCGGACGGCTTGGGCTGACCTCCTGGGATGCGGACACCCACACTGCAGCTTCAGAGTACATGTGAATGGGACAATTTGTCTAACATACAAACAAACATGAATGCATGTTTGGCAAGTCAACGTGTACACAAGGCCTTTCCTTTGCAATACATGCTTAGACTGTTGGTTGTGAAATCAGCATATACAAGTACAAGGGTCCTCCTATGACATCGAAACTTGCCAGCTTGGTCTGACTTTGGCATTCCCTACGTGTGGCGTGAGATACTACTACACACCCTTGTTGAGTCCCGAGGCGGCTCGTAGGTTCTGACCGCAACGCAGTAGTTAGTTTCTTGGAGGCGGGCAGATCCGTTTGCTCATAAGCAGGCAGCCGGTTGCGGAGGTGCAAGCGAGGTGGGGCGGAGGTCGAGCCTCAAGCTCTGCGACCAGAGGTTTGGAGGAGGTGCGCTGGCCAAGCCTTGCAAGTCGAGGGATGCCACCAGGCTGAGTTGACAAGACTTGGGATGACGGCTGTAAGGGGCTGAGATAGCGCATAAGCCGTGCCGAGCGGCAAGGAAAAACAAGGTCACGCCGCCACTAACGGCGCGGAGGAATTCACAACCCTGGCAAACGCCCAACCAGGATTTCTGGACATGAAGCAACTACGGCATTGCTTCCTACAAGCAATCACACGTGTTGTGCCGCCATTGGTAGTTATGCGAGTATCGCCACCGCTCGAGATTCAGCCCGCCCTTCTTCTTAGCATGACACAACCCTGGCAATCGCCCAATCAGGATTTCCGGACATGAAATAACTACGTCATTACTTCCTACAAACAATCACACATGTTGTGCCGCCGTTGGTAGTTATGCGAGTATCGCCACCGCTCGGGATTCAGCCCGCCCTTCATCTTAGCATGACATAAGGTGGCTGCACGTCTTTCCAACCTTTCAAAGATCCTGAGGCAAGAAAACATTCTTGGAAAACTGCAGCGAACTATGACTCACAGAACTGAAGTGTACGTCATAGTCTTGGAGCCTTCGGCGGACCAGTTGTAATTAGCAAGGTTCGATGACACACGCCAGGGAATATGAAAGTCCAAATTCGGCCTGCGTGATACGGTGCCCGGGACTAAACTTGTGACTAGGCATCCGAGCAAATTGTGCCCCGTACGTTATTACCCCACCCCACCCCACCCCCACAAAAGTCATCAAGGCGTCGACCACAACAACGGGAAGTGCGGTGGGACTGCTCCGCGCCGTTAGTGGCGGCGTGAGCAAAAACAAGCACGCGGAAGATGCCTTTCGTGAGCACGTGACTGCTGGTGATGGCTTGGGATCGGGCGGAGGAAAGGGCTAGGGGAGGAGAGGGTGAAAACCAAGATGTTCGCACGGCCAGAAAGAGGCCAGCGTTGGGTACAAGTCTATGATGCGACGGCGAAGGGAAGGGTATTGCTGGATGAGGTACTTGGCCGGGAGAGGAGGCGCCTCATGGCTGACGATGTGGCGCAGTTGCTGAAGGGCCCAAAAGCAAAAGCGCCCAGGCTCACACCGTTTGCGGCCTCAGGCAACTGAAGCATTGAAACCCTCTGCTTAGTGCCCCCTCGAAGGAAGCTAAACACGCTTGATTGCTTGCTTCTGACCCTCTGCAAAGCTGGATGGTCAAGAGACAGGTAAAAGCGCGCGCAAACAAGAAAGGCGCAAAAGCACAGGCAGGGGCAGCTTGCTTGGCCTTCGAAACTGACCTCCAAAACGGTCCCTCTCCACGACACATTTGATGAAATCCTAAGGAAAGAAACATGATTGCCTGGGTATGCTGTCGTACAAACAAGACTCAGCAGCAGCAGTCTAGACTTTCAACTTCGATTGATTCTGAGCTTGCGAGAGAAAAAAAGACATGGAAGTGACAACTGAACTATCCAGTCCCAAATGCCCAAGTGCCAACCATGTATGGTTTTTGCCGGTATTGACATGATTCGGAGAGCCGCCTTCTACCCATAAGCCTCAGGCAACCTCATCCTCTGCCAAGCTACCTGACCATATCAAGCGAAATCTGCCTGGCCTGCTGTTCTTTGACCCAGGAGTCCTCTCTCCTCTTGTTGAAAAGGCAGGTGCAAAACACATACTGGAAACGAACTCATATTAATGGCGGTGCCGATGATACGCGACGTGAGCACAAAGAACTTAGCTCTCAAGCAGGCCTGCGATTGAAAATACCTTGTACACGCGCACAACCAACTAGCGAGGAAGTATACTGCACAATGAAATTAAACACCCAGCAGTGGCTTCGTTTCAGTCCGACTAGACGGCGCCTCCGCCATGTCCGAATTCCTGAAACTCTTTGCTTGAAGCAGCCTTTTCATCAATCTGTCTTGTTCCCGGGAGCATGCGTCAGCAGGCAATACGACTACCCTGCTTTCGGAGCTCTTGAAACTTGCGGCCTCCAGCAACAGCATTCCTCCGGAAGTCCCTGAAATGTCCGACGCAAACACACATTGAGCTTCCGCCCCACCAGGCGCACGGCACCACGCAGCGTAAGCTGCGCCTCTGCCCCGCCCTGCCCCGCCTGGGCTTCCCGGCCGATCCTGTTCCATTCCAGATTCAGCGTCAGCTGCTGCAGCTGTGCCAGGCCTTGGAGCCCGTCTGCCAGGCCCCGGGCGACATCCGGACCTCGGTGATGATGAGTTCCTGGGACCCACACTACAGCTTCAGAGTACATCTGAATGCGACAAATGGTCCAACATACCAACAACATGAATGCACTTTGTGCAAGTCAACGTGTACACAAAGCTTTGCCTTTGCCATACATGCTTAGCCTGTTGGTTTAAAATCAGCATACACAAGGGCCCCCCTCTGAAATCGAAACTCGCCAGCTTGGTCTGACTTTGGCATTCCCTGCGTGTCGCGTGAGATTCTACTACACACCCCGGTTGAGTCCCGAGGCGGCTCTTAGGTTCTGACCGCAACGCAGTAGTTTGTTTCTTGGAGGCGGGCAGATCCGTTTGCTCATAAGGAGGCAGGCAGCCGGCTGCGGAGGTGCAAGCGAAGTGGGGCGGAGGAGGTCGAGCCTCAAGCTCTGCGGCCAGAGCACAGGTGCGCTGGCCAAGCCTTGCTAGCCGAGGGATGTCACCAGGCTGAATTGATAAGACTTGGGATGACTTCTGTAAGAGGTAAGCCGCGCCGAGCGGCAAGGAAAAAGAAGCACGCGGAAGATGCCCTGCGTGAGCACGTGACTGCTGGTGATGGCTTGGGATCGGGCGGAGGAAAGGGCTAGAGGAGGATATTGCTGGATGAGGTACTTGGCCGGGAGAGGAGGCGCCTCATGGCTGACGATGTGGCGCAGTTGCTGAAGGGCCCAAAAGCAAAAGCGCCCAGGCTCACACCGTTTGCGGCCTCAGGCAACTGAAGCATTGAAACCCTCTGCTTAGTGCCCCCTCGAAGGAAGCTAAACACGCTTGATTGCTTGCTTCTGACCCTCTGCAAAGCTGGATGGTCAAGAGACAGGTAAAAGCGGGCGCAAACAAGAAACGCGCAAAAGCACAGGCAGGGGCAGCTTGCTTGGCCTTCGAAACTGACCGACACATTTGATGAAATCCTAAGGAAAAGAAACATGATTGCCTGGGTATGCTGTCGTACAAAACAAGACTCAGCAGCAGCAGTCTAGACTTTCACCTTCGATTGATTCTGAGCTTGCAAGAGAAAAGAAAAACATGGAAGTGACAACTGAACTATCCAGTCCCAAATGCCCAAGTTCCAATCCGCCCCAAGAAGGCGCGCCAACCAGAGGCCCATCTATCTCACATCATCTTGCCACCACAGGGCCAACCATGTATGGTTTTTGCCGGTATTGACATGATTCGGAGAGCTGCCTTCTACCCATATTCCGCCGGCAACCTCATCCTCTGCCAAGCTACCTGACCATATCATATGAACAGAAGTGCACTTTGTGCAAGTCAACGCATACACATGCATTTTCCCTTGCAATACATGCTTAGCCCGCATATACAAGGGTCCTCGTTTGAAATCGAAACTTGCCAGCCTGGTCTGACTTTGGCATTCCCTGCGTGTGGCGTGAGATACTGCTACACAACCTTGTTAAGTCCCGAGGCGGCTCGTAGGTTCTGGCCGCGGCGCAGTAGTTGGTTTTGCTCATAAGGAGGCAGGCGGCCGGTCACGGAGGTGGAAAGGGAGGCGGGGTCGAGCCTCAAACTCTGCGACCCGAGCACTGAAGCTTGAGGTTTGTGCGCTACGAGCCTGGAAAAGAAACCTGGGATGACGGTCGACTGCGGGGTTGGGCAATACTGGCGACACAGGCCTGCCGCTGGTCGGTTTGGGTTTGGGGGAGAGGCCGGAGCAGGACAGGGTGAAAGCCGAGATGTTTGCAGGGCCCAAGGGTACGATGCGACGGAAGTGAAGGAATTGGCGAGAGGAGGCGCCTCTTGGATGACGATGTGGCGCGGTTGCTGAAGGGCCGAAAGCGACCCGCTTGTGCTATGAAATCGAAACATATCAAAACTTGCCAGCTTGGTCTGAATTTGAAATTCCCTGCATGCGGCATGAGAAACTGCTACACACCCTTGTTAAGTCTCAAGGCGGCTCGTAGGTTCTGGGCGCGGCACAGTGATTTGTTTCTTGGAGGCCGAAAATCCGTTTGCTGATGAGGAGGCAGGCAGCCGGTTGCGGAGGTGCAAGCGAGGTGGGGCGGAGGAGGGAGGTTTGCCTTGCGAAACTTGAGGTGAAGGTGGAAAGCTGGCAGAGAAATGCCACGAGGCTGTATTGAAAAGAAGGGGCCAGCAGAAACCAGACGGAAGTGAAGGAATTGGCAAGAGGAGATGCCTCTTGGACGACGATGTGGCGCAGTTGCTGAAGGGCCCCAAAGCGAGAGCACCCAGGCTGAAGTTATTTGGGTCCGCCCGCCAGCTGCAGCAAGGCTGCTGGGTGGAGGATTCAGGCTCCTTTGTCCCCGCCAAAATGGGAAAGAATCTTAACGGTCTGGGGCCAGCTACGAAACCATCCCTCTCCACGAACTGAAGCGCGTATGAACTGGGCCAGAAAGAAAAGAAGCGGAGTTGCGCGCACGACCTGCTGAACGAGTTGCTTGTTTGGCTAAAGGCTCAGAAAGGCCCACGCATGCAAAGAAGCAAGAGAAACCCCCTTCTGGGCACCTTAAAAATCACAAAGAAGCCAAGGGCAAGACTCGGACTCGGACGGCTGGAGCACTGGCCTCCGCTACGACTAGCGCGGAGTCACTTGACCTTTGGCGCTGCAGGATGACGGCTGAAGAGAATGCGCGCCTTGTCTATATCGATGCGACAGGGTGCCCAAAGTCCATGGGCACGGTGGATTCATTTGTTGGATGCCTGTTGCCAGTCGTGGACCCATCCTCACTGCGGCTCCGTCTTCAAGCCTCCGCCCCGTGTCAATGTTGGCAACGGCGCAATTCCCATCACGCGTCGACTTGCGGCTAAGAGACAGGGACGGTTAAGACCATGTTCACCATTTCTGAAACAAAGCTTGGAAGCTGCGGTCATACCAAGCGAACATATCTGCTTGACTGGGTACGCACCGTCTGCAGCCAACTGAAGCATTAAAACCCTGCTTACAGCTTACTTGGCCTTCGAAACTGACCTCCAAAACGCCCAGTCCCTCGCAGCTGGTCCCTCTCCACGACACATTTGGTGTCTAGACGTTCGATTTCATCTGGTTCCGAGCTTGCAAGAGACAAAACCATGCACCAAAGAGGCCCATCTATCTCACATCATCTTGCCACCACAAGGCCAACCATGTGTGATTTTGCCGGGGTAAAAGATGGCTCATGTCTCAAACAACAGGTCGCAAGGCGGGGGCTTGCTCAGCTATTGACATGATTCGGGGAGCCGCCTTAGCTCAACCGCTGCAAAACTACCTGACCACATCAAGCGAAAACTGCCTGGTCTCTTGTTCTATTGACCCAAAATTCCTCCGAAAAGGCAGGTGCAAAACACGTGCTGGAACCGAAAACACAAATACATGGCGGCGGCGATGGTGCGCAACGTGAGCGCAAAGCACTTAGCCCTCAAGCTGGCCTGCGATTCAAAATGCTGGCACACGCGCGAAAACCAACTAGCGAGGAAGTATACTGCGCAAAATGAAATTAAACACCCAGCAGTGGCTTCGCTTCAGTCCGACTATACGGCGCCTCCGTCGATTGAAATTATTTGCTTGAAGCGGCCCTTTCATCAATCTGTCTTGTTCCCAGGCGCATGCGTGAGCAGGCATGTGGCTGTCCTGCTTCTGGAGCTCTTGAAACTTGTGGCCTCCAGCAACAGTATTTCCCTGAAAGTGTCAGGAAGGTCCATCTCAAACGAGGTCCCCTGCTAAGTCGCACCCGGCGCCGTGCCTCGCCCCGGCGCCTCTGCTTCCTGGGCTTCCCGGCCGATGTTGTTGCCCCCCAGACTCAGCGTCAGCTGCTGGAGCTGCACCAGGCCGCGGAGGCCCTCCGCCAGGCCCCGGGCGCCATCCGGACCTCGGGGGCGGACGGCTTGGGCTGATGACCTCCTGGGATGCGGACATAAGTGCACTTTGTGCAAGTCAACGCGTACACATTTTTTCCTCTGCAATACAAGGGTCCTCCTCTGAAATCGACACTTGACAGCTTGGTCTGACTTTGGCATTCCCTGCGTGGCGTGAGATACTGCTACAAACCCTTGTTAAGTCCCGAGGCGGCTCGTAGGTTCTGGGCCGCGGCCCAGTAGTTAGTTACTTGGAGGCGGGCAGATCTGTTTGCTCATGAGGAGGCAGGCTGCCGGTCATGGAGGTGGAAAGGGAGGTGGGGCGGACGAGGTCGAGCCTCAAACTCTGCGACCCGAGCACTGAAGCTTGAGGTTTGAAGGAAGTGCGCTGCGAGCCTGGAAAAGAAACCTGGGATGACGGCGGTGGGCAGGGCGTATACATGAGAGGCACCCAGAAGGTGAGCGACAAGGAAAAATCATGACACAGAAGATGGCTTACGTGAGGCCCGGGTGGTTGGGCAAGCGACTGCTGGCGACACAGGCCTGCCGCTGGTCGGTTTGGGTTTGGGATCGGGCGGAGGAAAGGGCAGGAGAAGGACAGGGTGAAAGCCGAGGTGTTGGCCAGCGGGGAGCAAGGGCACGATGCGACGGAAGTGAAGGAATTGGCAACAGGAGATGCCTTTTGGACGACGATGTGGCGCAGTTGCTGAAGGGCCCCAAAGCGAGAGCGCCCAGGCCGCCCGCCAGCTGCATCAACAAGAACACCAAGCAAGGCTGCTGGGTGGAGGATGCCAAGATGAGAAAGAATCTTAACGGTCTGGGGCCAGCTACAAACCATCCCTCTCCACGAACTGAAGCGCGTATGAACTGGGCCAGAAAGAAAAGAAGCGGAGTTGCGCGCACGACCTGCTGAACGAGTTGCTTGTTTGGCTAAAGGCTCAGAAAGGCCCACGCATGCAAAGAAGCAAGAGAAACCCACTTCTGGGCACCTTAAAAATCACAAAGAAGCCAAGGGCAAGACTCGGACTCGGACGGCTGGAGCACTGGCCTCCGCTACGACTAGCGCGGAGTCACTTGACCTTTGGCGCTGCAGGATGACGGCTGAAGAGAATGCGCGCCTTGTCTATATCGATGCGACAGGGTGCCCAAAGTCCATGGGCACGGTGGATTCATTTGTTGGATGCCTGTTGCCAGTCGTGGACCCATCCTCACTGCGGCTCCGTCTTCAAGCCTCCGCCCCGTGTCAATGTTGGCAACGGCGCAATTCCCATCACGCGTCGACTTGCGGCTAAGAGACAGGGACGGTTAAGACCATGTTCACCATTTCTGAAACAAAGCTTGGAAGCTGCGGTCATACCAAGCGAACATATCTGCTTGACTGGGTACGCACCGTCTGCAGCCGCAGGCAACTGAAGCATTGAAACACTCTGCTTAGTGCTCCCTCAAAAGAAACTAAACATGCTTGATTGCTTGCTTGGCCTTCGAAACTGACCTCCAAAACGTCCAGTCCCTCCCAGCTGGTCCCTCTCCACAACACATTTGATGAAATCCTTAGGAGAAGAAACACGATTGCTACACACAACACTCAGCAGCAGCAGTCCAGACTTTCAATTTCGATTGATTCCGAGCTTGAAAGAGACAAAACCATGCACCAACCAGAGGCCCATCTATCTCACATCATCTTGCCACCACAAGGCCAACCATGTATGATTTTTGCCGGGGCAAAAGATGGCTCATGTCTCAAACAACAGGTCGGAAGGCGGGGGCTTGCTCAGCTATGGACATGATTCGGAGAGCCGCCTTACCTCATCCTCTGCAAAGCTACCTGATCATATCAAGCGAAATCTGCCTGGTCTGTTGTTCTATTGGCCCAAAATACATGCTGGAACCGAAAACACAAATACATGGCGGCGTCGATGGTACGCTACGTGAGCGCAAAGCACTTAGCCCTCAAGCTGGCCTGCGATTGAAAATACCTTGTACACGCGCAAAACCAACTAGCGAGGAAGTAAACTGCACAGTGAAATGAAACACCCAGCAGTGGCTTCGCTTCAGTTCGACTATACGGCGCCTCCGCCATGTCCGAACTCCTAAAATTCTTTGCTTGAAGCGGCCTTTTCATCAATCTGTCTTGTTCCCAGGCGCATGCGTGAGCAGGCATGTGGCTGTCCTGCTTTCGGAGCTCTTGAAACTTGTGGCCTCCAGCAACAGTATTTCCCTGGAAGTGTCAGGCAGGTCCATCTCAAACGAGGTCCCCTGCTAAGTCGCACCCGGCGCCGTGCCTCGCCCCGGCGCCTCTGCCTCCTGGGCTTCCCGGCCGAGTTTGTTGTCACTCAGATTCAGCGTCAGCTGCTGGAGCTGCACCAGGCCGCGGAGGCCCTCCGCCAGGCCCCGGGCGCCATCCGGACCTCGGGGGCGGACGGCTTGGACTGATGACCTCCTGAAATGTGGACACTCGCATATAGAAACGCACCAAAATGGTTCAACATATGAACAGAAGTGCACTTTGTGCAAGTCAACGCATACACATGCATTTTCCTTGGCAATACATGCTTAGCCCGCAAAAACAAGGGTCCTCCTCTGAAATCGAAACTTGACAGCTTGGTCTGACTTTGGCATTCCCTGCGTGTGGCGTGAGATACTGCTACACACCCTTGTTAAGTCCGGCTGCTCGTAGGTTCTGACCGCAACGCAGTAGTTAGTTTCTTGGAGGCGGGCAGATCCGTTTGCTCATGAGGGTGGAAAGGGAGGTGGGGCGGACAGGTCGAGCCTCAAGCTCTGCGACCCGAGCACTGAAGCTTGAGGTTTGAAGGAAGTGGTCTACGAGCCTTCAAAAAAAAGACTGGCATGACGGCTGTGGACAGGGTGTATACATGAGAGGCACCCAGAAGGTGAGCGACAAGAAAAAAAATGACACGGAAGATGGCTTACGTGAGGCCCGGGCCGACTGCGGGGTTGGGCAAGTGACTGCTGGCTACACAGGCCTGCCGCTGGTCGGTTGGGGTTTGGGATCGGGCGGAGGAAAGGGCAGGAGAAGGACAGGGTAAAAGCTGAGAATAAACCTGCGGGGCGCAAGGGCGCGATGCGACGGAAGTTGCGAAAGGGTTTGAAACAGAGTTTCGGGATGGATAAAACAGGCCCTAACCCACCAACAAGAAGAGACCACCTTATCCCCCCCGGTCCCAAGGGCAAAGCGGTTGCCCCCGGCCGGCACTAACACGAACCAAAAGGGGTGCCTCGTTTGTAACAAGAAGGAACCAAGCAGAAGCGCAGCACAGCGCAAAGCAGGCAAGCAAACCAGCGGCAAGCAGCACCAAGCGAGCAAAGCGAGCAGAAGCAGCGCACCCCAAACAATAGCCCGACCCACCTCCAGGACAAAGAACACCGCCCCAAACACAACGGTCCCGAAGCCACGCGGCCGGTGTGCAGATGCGCCGTGAACTTTTCCCGCCGAGATGGCGAACGATGAGTGCCGGATGCAAAACTTGAGCCAAAGCAGCGCGTTGGCTGTGGCGTTGAAACATGCTATGATGAATTTGCATGCCCCCAAAAACACCCCCCTCTCGCCTGTACAAAGAGATGGAGTGAATTTGGAAGGGCGCATTGGCCATGTTGAAGTTGAAAACCATTAAACAAGAAAACAGAGACGATTAGGCTACCAGGGTTCGCGACCCCATACCCGGGCACTCATTGGTGCCCGGATCCCGCCACCACCCCGAATTACGGGTATGGGGCGGATTCGCGCCGGTAGCCAAGAGAAGACAACAAAAGAAAAGAACAAAGGTTCAACTCCAGAATGGCAGGCATGAAGCTAAATAACTGACGTTTGCATTGCTACCACATTGAACCAATAGAATCAAGTGGATTTAATTTTGAATTATTGAGTTGGGCGCTTTGGCCGGTTGATTGAAACGTGGTGCGTTGACCAGTTGTCAGCGGCCTTAAAATGGCACCGTCTAGGCGCGCGGTCACTCGAAGATGGCCGGCATGAGCATCGCCGGCAGCAATCAGCGGTTCAGGTCCGAGTAGGACCCCGCCGGCAGCGGTGCGGCCCGATCGTGATCCTCACCTCAGCACCTCGGTGAGTTCCTTCGCCGGTTGCATCAGCGGTGCGGAAGGATGCAGGTCGCCAGCGGCCATAGACACCGGCGAGGATGACTGCCTCGTGGTGACAAGACGTACCTGGCAGGATAATGTGACCGGCGCGATTAGCGCACAGCCACGCGTGCATTTGAATTGTGATTCGGAGAATAACCGATTTGATGGATTGACACCAGGAGCATTGTCCTGCATGTGTCATCATGCAATGATTGAATTTATGATGAGGCCATCAAAAGTTGCGAGTGCGCTTTGGCACATTTGGGTACGACGCAGCACGTGCGGAACATTTGCCCTTTCCGCCGCCGCGCCGTCCCTTTCCCTTCCCATCGTTCCAGTCCCCGGGTGGGGGATGAGAAGGCTCGGTTTCAGCCAACTCGTCATCATCACCCCAAGTCGGGGTGTGAGGTGAATGAGGGTTCATGTATGCGCCGGGATTTTCCGGCGGAAACTGCGACCAACCCTGCGGCATTGCGCCAGGCCACATTTGCGGCATCATGCCAGCCATGGGCTGTTGCATGAAGCCCCCCATCGGGAATGTGGGATACATTCCTTGTCTCCCGAGCCGCGTGCGTCGGGCTGGTAGCCGCCTGTCGGCGTCCTTGACCGGGCGGATCCGCCACGGCCATATTGCCCGTACTGCTGGCCGTGTAGGCCGCCCTTACCCTTGTGCTGGTCACCCTTGTGACCCTTGTGACCCTTACTTGCATACGGGTCCCCTTTGGGACCCTCGCCTTTGGGCCAGGGGCTCGCAGGGGCATTGCCCTTCCGAGTATCCCCCTTGCCCTTCTGATCCGGTCGCATCGAAGCGGAGCGATGATCACCCCGAGGTGTCGCCGCCCGCTTGTGATGCTTACCAGATGGAGGATCTGCAAACGTTCACGCTGCCCAGCAGGAACCATGTCGACCTTGTTCT